GCTAAAATCACTAGACATAAGAATTTGTATGTAAGACAAACACGCATTTTTCAGTTAATTTGGAATTGGCAACCTTAAGTTTTCTTATACATGAAGAAATTTGGAACTCCGCTCCTTTCTTGCTCACTCTTTATATTGTATCAATGGACTATGTGTCCCCTTACTCCTTTCCGTCCGCCATCACGCAATCATGGGTTATCAAAGCACTCATGGTGTTACATGAAATATAACCTTTGAAATTTTACAAACTAAATTTTGTGATTCAGGATGAGTGGAAATGGGTTTTGTGTGTTGTATGGATCATATTCTTGTCAAAAATTTGTTGTTCTAGGGGATTCAGGTATAATACCTGAACACACTTTTCATTTAATATGTAAAAAAATATTGTCAATTACTTCTTGTTACAGATGGGAAAAATGTAGAAGAAATTGACGACCAAGTCGAACCGGACTTGCTGCATGATAGTTGCACGGATAAAATAATAAGTGTTTACAATAATATATGTTTGGTTCACTGTGCATCTCAGAAACGAAATTACTTTTTTAAACCGTCAGATTAAGAAAACCCCTCCAAATGGCGATTTTTTTCATTCATTCGGGCCCATTTAACATCCCTTGTGGAAATCTGACGCGCTCGAGTAAATCCATGTAACTGTTTTTTTTTACATTTTTGGAAGCCTGTGGATCCTCCACCCACCGCTGTAAGGAAAAACTTCACATGACCTTTTTTTTCTTACCATCACATAATCTTCAAAATCCAATAGGTCAAAATGACGCCCAAGTAAATCCCGATTTAGTTTCGATAATCTGATATACAGTCAGTGTAAGTGTACACCTTGTTTAAATATAATATTTCACAATTATTTTCATGAACAATTTTTTTCATTAATTACACTATGCGATAGTCAAAATCGGGATGGGATGAAACCAACGGGAAATGTTATATCGGTCAAAAACAAGTTATACGTGTCCCGGCGTTTCGCTGGGTCACGTCTAGGAATCGAGATATATATATAACTATCATATAGGGGAAATTGTCACCTTTGGTTTTGCCGGTAAAAATAAATGTATGAAGAAAAAAAATATTTTTTGCCTAAAATATTAAATTTTTTGAAAACTGTTGATTATATAGAAAAACGTTATATGAACAGATTAAAGGAATTGTAATTTTTAATTTTTTTAAATTTGTTTGAGCAAAATCGGACTAGTGGTTCTCGAGTTTGGTCAAAAAAAGACCACCTACCATTTGTCTCACAGTGTTATTTATGAAAATATAGTTCATTTAAAACTCTGCGAATTGGAAAAGACTTTTTAAATAAAAGTTTTTGTAGTAATATTGGCTATGTTTAGGGTTAATTTTCCAAGTTTTGAAATGTAAAAATCTTTTCGGCTTTATGTTTAATCAGCTGAATTATCTGCCGTGACGTTACCTGGCGTTACGTTACTAAAATTTGCATGTCAAAAGTTTTGTTAATATTGTTCTTGACAGAATTTTTAACGGGAAGAAAACATGCGTTTTATGTGAAACGTACTTTTTATTTTGACATGAGCGACACCAGCGGTTTAATTTTTTGCAAATCTACGTTTAAACTAAACATGCCAAATGTGAAACAAATCAGAGCATAAATACAGTTATTCAAAATATCTAGACCCTAGTGCCACTTAAAGAGACCATTTTTGGCAAAAATGTTTCTGCTCACATAACCAGTATATATTATAAAAAGCAGTCAAATCGGCCTATAGTATAAATAGATAAAGAACTTTTAATTTGTTTTCCGCGGTAGACTTTTCGCTGGATTCGCCCATATGTATTTAGAAGCCGTATATTACTTTACTAATAATTTTGCAAGATGTTTATTTACAATATATTACAAACTCTAATAACAAATTCAAATGCTGGAATTACGTGGATTCGTTGATGCTGATGGATAAGTCTAAAGATGAAGCTGCTGCTCAGAACACGTCCCAAAAGTAAGAGACAAAGGAATATTAAAATGGCGGTGATTATCATCGATTGGGTTCTTAGACACTTCCTACAGCGTTGCACTTCTTGTGACATTCAGAAGCCGAGTTGCCACAGTACTCCCCTAAGTCCAGCGCAGGTTCAACGATAGCGAGGTGAAATAACAACATGTCGTTTTGGACGATTTAACTTACTGGACGCCATTGGGGGCTCTGGTAACACATTCCGAGCAGAATGGGCTTCAGGTAGTTGCAACGGCTCGTCGTCCTTTAAGATGTACTCCGGCTTCAGACTGTCGATTGAGATGGATGTTTCTCTGCCGTTGACGTTGATTTTGAAGTGCTTGTCTGACCTATCTACAACTTTGTAAGGGCCGGTGTACGGGTGTGATAAGGATGGTCTAATTGAATCGTTCCTGACGAATACATTCTTACAATTTCTCAAGTCAGGATGTATGAACACTTTGCCTCTCGTATGCCACGCTATGTCAGGTGCCCTTACCTGTCGCATAGATTTCGCAGTTCAACCACAACTTCTGATTCCGTGCTATTTGTTGCATTGTCGACAAAGAACTCTGAAGGAATGCGAAGAGTAGTCCCGTACACCAGCTCTGCAGGTGATGCTTGAGTATCAGGCTTGTACGTCGTACGCAGACCCAACAAAATGGTCGGTAAATATTCAACCCATCGCTCGTGGTTATGGCACAATATGGCCGCTTTCATTGTTCAATGCCATCTCTCTACCAACCCGTTGGACTGTGGGTGGTAAGGAGTGGTTTTAAGATGTGTTATTCCCAAGGTTCTCATGAGCTCAGCAAAAAGGGCGGACTGAAACTGACGTCCTTGGTCGGATGTTATTGCGCATGGAACTCCAAATCTAGATATCCGACTGTATGCTGATGAACCTTTGCACGTTGACATCGGACACACGCTTTAACAAACTCCCTGCTGTCTTTCTGAATGCCTGGCCATACGAATCGCTGCGTCATCAATCTCACTGTAGCGCGCGTACCAGGGTGACACAAATTGTGGGTAGATTCTAGTACTTTACGCCGGAAATTTTTCGTCACAAATGGTCGATTAGAATTCGTGGCACAATCGCAATATAGCTGCTTAGAAGAACCTGGAATTGTAAAAAGTTTCAGTTTAAGGGAGCTTTTCGAAGTATCGTGAAGCAGCTGCTGTAATTCTCCATCTGCTTTCTGGTCTTCCGCCAATTCGTTGTAGTTGATATGCGTAACTTCCAAGGACGAGATGCGGGATAGAAAATCAGCTGTGACATTATGTATCCCTTCGACATGGCTAATATCTGTCGTTATTTGGGAGATAAAGTCCAGTTGTCGCGCTTGCCGATCCGAAACTTTGTCCAGGTTTTTGCCTAAAGGCGAAGGTTATTGGCTTATGATCAGTATAGACGTGACAAACTCTACCTTCTAACATAAACCTAAAATGCCGCATGGCGAAATAAATCGCTGTTAACTCGCGATCGTAAGTGCTATAACGTAGCTGTGTTTTGTCGAACTTCCTTGAGAACAAACCCAGAGGCTCAAGAGCTCCGTTGACAACCTGGTGTAGTGCCGCACCGGCCGCACTGGCAGATGCATCTACCCAAAGCGATAGCTCTGCATTCTTTGACGGATGCGCGAGAAGGGCCGAATTCGCCAGCTGTTGCTTGCAATGCTCAAATGCAGATATCGTTTCATTTGACCAGTTGAGCGACGATCGGTCATTTTTGATGTTTCCCGGGCACATTGCTAGTATGCGTGTGGAATAAATCGTCGGTAAAAGTTTATTACCGCTAAAAATTTTCTCAAATCCTTCACCGTTGAAGGCCTCTAGAGCTTGCGTATGGCCTCGACGCGCTCTTGTAGGGGGCGAATACCTTGGGATGACACTAAATGCCCGAGGAAGGTTATTTGGTTACGACCGAATTCTGACTTTTACACGTTGATAGCTAAATTATATTGCTTAAGTTTTTCAAAGAGCTGACGTAGATGCGATCTGTGTTCATCTGGACTTGTTGACGCGATACAGATACATCCATATAAGCAAACACGAAGTCCCACCCGCGCACAACTTCGTGTATAAGCCGTTGAAAAGTTTTACCGCATTGCGCAAACCAAAGGTCATGTAGACAAATTCGAATAAACCGAAAGGTGTGGATATTGCAGTCTTGGGTATATCATCCGGGGGCACCGGCACCTGGTGAAAGGCTTTTTGCAAAACGACTTTCGAGAATATTGTCTTACCTCGCAAAATATTGGTAAAATCCTGCAAATAAGGTATCGTGTACCTATCCGGTACTGTGATGGCATTTAATGTCCTGTAGTCTCCGCAGGGGCGCCATCTGCCATCTGCCTTTCGCACCATGTGTAGAGGGCTGGCCCAACTGCTTCGTGACGGTCTACATACACCTAGTCTCATTAGGCTTTCAAACTCAGCGCGCGCTGCTTGTAGTTTATCCGCCGACAGGCCTCGGGGACGAGCGAAGATGGGTTGACCGCGAGTCTCAATGTAATGCACCACCGAAGAATTTGTGATAACGCCGGGCTGTGCACGTCGTGTTATTTCTGCAAATTCACCTAATAAATCCGCGAACGGAGACGAGGTGTCGAATGACTTGATTGATGAGCCTGTACCCGTAACTGCCTGGGCGACGGATTGCAAAGACGTGCTTTTATCAATGATTCGATTCCTTTTTAAATCTATGAGTAGGTCGAAATGCCTGATAAAGTCTGCGCCTATTATTCCACAAGTAACGTTGGCGATCAGGAACGTCCACACAAACTCGCGGCGTAGGCCCAGATTAACTTTCAACATAGCTTCTCCGTACACATTAATAGAGGTGCCATTTGCGGCAAACAGTTTCATAGTAGTTGGTTTATGCTTGACTGAACGTGAGCCTTTTGGTATCACAGACACATCGGCGCCGGTGTCTATTAAGAATTTCATATTAGTTGCAGTGTCTGATACCTTAAGGCGGAAACGGGCTGCTCCCAGTTGTTTGCCTGTACTGGTTGCAGGTTCAGCCGGGCAATATCATTGACCTGAATTCTTCCTTACGTAACCACAGGGCGTCCTACACTTGCGCGCATTGGCTCCAAACTCCCGATAATACCAGCAGCTTTCGTTGGGCGAGTTGCACCTAGCTCGTCGTCGCGGTGTCTCGAGGCGGCCTCGTGAACGTGAACGTCTTCGCGGATCATAGCCACGCGTTTGCAATGATTCGAAACGACGCGAGAGCTGCGCGATTTCTCGCTGAATGGCCTCCAAGGCTGACGAAGATTCCTGGCCTGAGTGGTGAACGGGGCGCAGTGGCGGTAGGTTTGTCTACTGAACTTACGGTGCGAAGGCCCATTGACTCTACAATTGCGTCCGCGATGACGCCTTTATCCACGGCGTTACCTTTCACTGCAATCACTGCTGCTTGTGCATGCGGCGGCAATCGTATGGCCCACAAATCCAACAGAACCGCTTCGCCCAGAGCATCGCCTGCGACTCGACGCATCTCGTTAAAAAGTTGACTAGGCTTCATATCGCCCAAAGGCATATCTGACAGAACCCGCTGCAAACGCCTTTGCTGGCTATCGGCAAAGTGTGAGGTTAACCTCGCCTTCACATACTCGTACCTATTTTGCTGGGGCACCGTGTCGATGATTGATCGAAGCTCTGCAGCCTGCTCGGTGGGACCTGAGCCATAACTATGTTAAACTTTTTCAAGTCTTGAGTTATACCTGAAGCTGCAAACCAAAATTCCAGCGACATAAAATACGACTCAATGTTAGTTGCGGTCATATTTGGTGAACTTATTCGTGGAGCTGCTGTTGCATCAACCCAGGCCTCGTCGTCCTCCATACTAGCCAATTTCACGCTCAGACAAATATGAAAACGATACTTCAGAAGGACCAGACGCAGGAGTGTCGTAACCTCCTGATCACGTCGGGGTCACCACTTTAGAAGCCGTATATTACTTTACTAATAATCTTGCAAGATGTTTATTTACAATATATTACAAACTCTAATAACAAATTCAAATGCTGGAATTACGTGGATTCGTTGATGCTGATGGATAAGTCTAAAGATGAAGCTGCTGCTCAGAACACGTCCCAAAAGTAAGAGACAAAGGAATATCAAAATAGCGGTGATTATCATCGATTGGGTTCCTAGCAACTTCCTACAGGGTTGCACTTCTTGTGACCTTCAGAAGCCGAGTTGCCACATGTATATCTAAGGAATCTTTCATCAAAGTGATTTACTGTAATAATGTAGTTAATTAATAATTAATATATTACTTCATTGTATTTAACAATTACTATTTCTAAAAATATATTGCACATAAAAGGCCTTAAAAGCAATTAATTTTGTGGCACTTTCATCTTATTTTCGGCATTTGAAGACCATTAGGCACATTTTGAAGTTTTGTTGTTGTTGTTGTTGTTGTAGCGGCTACAACAACCCCGCCCAG